ATCCCAGTTCAGGTACCCCGAGGCACCACCGCGTTCCGCGTGGGGCCAGCCCCGTGTCTTACTGCGGGGGGCTGGCTTCTCCGCCTCCGATACTCAGCCTCCCGGCTCGCGTGGCCAGGAGGAAGGGGCAGCTGAGCGCTCAGGGGTGGCCGGCCTGCGGCTCCTCTCCCCAAGGTCACCTCAGACCTGGGCGAAGGGGCCTGTGGGGTCACCGGGAAGGCCCCACTAGACTCTACAGACCCCGAGTGCGCCACCAGGGCCAGTCTGTGCCCGTCTGCTGCAGAGGAGGAGAAAATACCATTTCCCCCTGCCTGGGGGCTTCGGTTTGTTTTCGGAAGCTGACATCTGAGCCACGCCATTTTTCTGACTTGGTCCTCCGTCTTTCTCCCCTCCATCCCGCCTTCTCCACACTAACTGCTGAGACTGGACACTGCCCTCAAGTTACCCTGACTCACACCACCCCCAACGTGTTCACCTAACAGTTCTTAGAGTGAGTCCCTTGGGCACGTTTACGAGTTTCCTCTCCTGGTGTGGCAGCTGAGAATTCTCAGGTGACAGGTCCCCTCCGCTCTGAGGTCGTCGGGCGTGGTGGCTGCTGCGTTCCCCGGGGTGTCTCGGCACCTTGCTTCAGGCCCCAGAGAAATGCTCCTGCCTTCTATCGTCAGACACCGGACCTCAGAGCGCCTTCTCGGGACACCTCCCTTCCCTACCCGGCGGTTTCTCCACTGCCCAGGGCCCAGGGCCCCTCCCTCGGCTGGCTGGGGGCCGCCGAGGGGGGCAGGCGAAGCTCTCCCCGATGTCTTCCCGGCAGCCACTCTCCGGGCTTGGCGTCCCTGGAGGCTGGGAGAAGGAGAGAGCTCAGTGGACTTCTGTTCTGGAATCGCTTCAAGGATGCTCTTTCCTGGGCCGGGCTGCACAGCCAACAGAAGCTGCCCCGCCAGGCCAGGCAAGCCCCTGACAGGTCCCTGGCGGCTGTGCACCAGGACTCGTCTACTTGCAGCCTGGGAACTTGCTAGGCAACCCCTGATGTACACACAACCTAGGGGCTCTGCCAGGACACAGGCAGCACAGGGAGGCACAGGCCGTCAGCCCCGGGGCCCCCCAGGTTCCCCTCTGCCTCTCAGGGAAAAGCCAACAGCACATGAATTCCACACAGCAGCACGGAGACACTGAACAATTGTTTGTTTTTTTGAAATTCAAATTCCACTTGGTGTCCTATGTTTTCATTTGCTAAATCCAGCAAGCCCAGAGGTGGGGTTTTCTTTCCTCTGAGCTGCCCCAGGTGCCCGCAGGCCTGAATCCCTCAGCCCACTCCCAGGGGCAGGAACTGCCCCGTTCCCAGCTGCAGCCCTTGGCCCAGGACCAGGCCGCCAGGCCATCCTGTCGACCTTCCCAGGGGAGTGACGAGAATGCCGGCAGGACACTGCCAAGCCGCTCTCCTCGGGGCCTGCGGCCTGGGGACCGGGACTCTGTCCCCTTGTCCCACAGCTGAAGGGTCCGTATCTCAGTCAGGGCACCACGGTGACAAGTCTGGATCCGCTGCTTCCGTGTGCCTTTCAACTCTTTAAAAAAATCTCTCCAGTAGCTCCGTGGCCTGTGCTTTATCGTCAGTATCAAGTCTTTCTAGCTGCAGCAAGGGGCACAGCTCTGACTTCCAGGCGAAACCCAATGGGCGGCTTTACCTACTGGGCGGCTTTACCTACTGGGCGGTCTCCACCGAGAACCGGCTCTGGAACTGAGTTCCAGAGTCTCTGATCCATTCTTTTTTTATTTTTTATCCTCACCCGAGGACACCCTTCATTTTTTTGATTCAGATAGAGTGGGAGGGAGAGAGAGGAAGAGAGAGAGAGAGAGAGAAACATCGACCTGAAAGGGACACATCGAGTGGCTGCCACCCACACGACCAACCAGGGCCAGGGACAAACTGCAACCGAGGTACATGCCCTTAGCGGGAACTGAACCCGCGTCTCTCTGGACCGCAGGCCGACGCTCTAACCGCTGAGCCAAACCGACCAGGGCTCTGATCCATTCTTCAATGACAAGGGCCGGCTGGTCTGTGCTCCCTGCTCAGCGGCCTTAGAAGGCCCAGGTGACCAAGCCCAGGTGTGTGACAGTCACCGAGGGGAGCCACAGGCCAGTGCTGGGCCGCACGCGGGAAATGCCTTTCCAGTTCACGGCGTTACAGATGGTGTCCAGGGGTGGGCTGTTGTCCAGGATCAGGGCTTTCCCAGGCAGTGGGGGCTGGGAGATGGGTGGGGAAGTCCCCCCTCCACGCCCCCCTCCCCTCCCCCTTCCGTAGGAGAGGAGGAACTGGGCTGAGCTCTCCCGAGACCCTCTGTGGTTGTGGTTCAATCACCCTTCTCTGCGCCGGGTGCCGCCCTCACCGCAGCCTGTCACCCAGAGCCCGGAGCCGTGGGGAGAGGGCAGCCTCTGTGTGCCCCCGGCTTCCTGAGCGGAAGCCCTGTTTTCCTATCTGTTACTCCATTTCAGACGGCTGGCAGTTACACTGCAGGGTCCACCGACAGGCGTGCGACGCTGACACCCAGGACGGTCTCGTCTTCAGGGAAATGAGGGTAACTTTCCTCAAGCTACATGCTTGGCTTTTCCTCCCCGAGGACAGTTTCTTTCCGGCTTTGCGGGGCTGATCCTTTGCTTAAAAAGAATGTACTTTTTAAAAAATTTTTATCCTCGCCTGAGGACATTTTCCCATTTTTGTTCAGATAAAGTGGGAGGGAGAGAGGGGAAGAGAGAGAGAGAAACATCAATGTGAGAGGGACACAAGTGGCTGCCTCCTGCGTGACCCCAACCAGGGCTGGGGACGAATCGCAACCGAGGTTCATGCCCTTGATCAGAATCGAACCTGTGACTCATTGGTCCGTGGGTCGACGCTCCTACCACTGAGAAGACAAACCGGCCAGGGAAGAATGTACATTCTGTCCACCGGTAGGCTCAGTGGTTGAGCATCAACCCATGAACCAGGAGGTCACCAGTTCGATTCCGGGTCAGGGCACACGCCCAGGTTGTGGCCTGTTCCCCAGTGGGGGGCATGCAGGAGGCGGCCAATCAATGTTCTCTCTCATCAATGTTTCTATCTTCCTCTTCCTCTCTCTGAAATCAATAAAGGAAAAAAAAAAGAAAGAAAAGAATGTACTTTCTGGCCTCGCGTTCAGCTGATGCAGCAGTTGGAGGGGCCCACAGGTTCGTCCGGGGCTCCACCTGAGTGCTGACTGCCGCACAGGTGTGCAGGGTTCCTGAGCAACCACGTGTGGGTCGTGCTGTGGGTTCCCCCTGGGTCCCGGGTCAAGGCCAGGAGGCAGACTCAGTGGCAAGTCGTGTGGAGGGACCTGTGGCTGGGTGAGGCAGGGTGAGGCAGGGTGCGGGGGGACAAGGCAGCACCGACGGGGAAGAAAGGGCAGGAGAAGCAGGACTGCACTGACGGAGGGTCAGGAGGACGTTGGGTCAGGCTCCCGGCAGGGGGGAGGGACAGGAAGACGGGGACAGTGGGGACGGGGACAGCGCCCAGCCTGCCGCCGGCCGCCTCCTCTGCTTGCCCATCGGCACCGCACGTGTGGGCTGAGCCCGGCCGAGCTCAGAGCCAGCGTCGGCGCAGCACCCCAGGCACGGGATGCCACAGGCCGTTGGCACCCCTCCTCGAGTAGAGGCTGGGTGGCGTGAGGAAGCGATGGCGCGGCCAGACCAGCCGGGAGCTGACGTGGGCCCACCCTGGGGTGGCCATGCTGGGCAAGCCTGAGAGGATAGAAGGAAACAGAACCCACACGAACCGAATGGATGCTCACTGAGGGACCTGGGGAGAGCCGTTTGCCCAAGGCTTGGCTTCCCCGGGAACGTTCGTACGTGAGGATTTTCAAGGGGAACTGAAGGAGCTGGCCTGAGGCCCAGAGCAGCCTGGCAAGGCAGGTGAACACCCGCTGATGTGCCCAGTCTCTGGCAGGCGGAGGGCAGACAGGGACCAGTGTTCTGGAGTCTGCTGAGGCAGGAGAGGAGGTGATGGGCAGAGGGGTGTCCTGAGAAAATAGGAGCAGGCGGAGGATGGGACGCAGGGGGCTAACAGGTGCACACAAAGGTGCACACGCCTCAGGGAGCACAGCTGCTCTGGCTCCAGGTCACCCACCTGGAGGGGCTGGTGAGCAGCTGCTGCCTCCCCGGGAGAGACGCTGGGGACTGCTGGGGACGGCCAAGGCTGAGTCCCCCGGGGCTGCCCGCTGCCTTCACCCGAGGAGGCAGAATCTGCCAGGGCTGTCACTTCGTCAGGGCTAATATACATTTTTCTTGAAAATAACAATAATGTCAACATCGCCAGCAACAACGTTAGCTGCCACTTAGCCCCCCTGCCCACGACAACCTCCAGGGCTGCCACCTGGCAGGTAACAGCAGGAGAAAGTTTTCCAAAGGACAGGATCAGTCTTACAACTGATGCAAAACACAGGGCCACCCTGGCGGTCATGTTGGTAAACCTAGGGTGCTCCTGATACATAAGTTACTCTAAATGCAACTTTCTGAAGGTCCAGGCTACGGAACTTGAAACCAATTTTAACTCAATGGCATCAGGTCAAATTGGCAAAAATCGTCAGACCATCCAAAACCTCTACCCCGCAGCAGAAACCTTTGGATAAACTGAGCCAACTACCTTTTGGTGAAGGGGTATTCGTGTTTACAGCTAATTCGTGTGTATGTGTAAAATGACAGATGATCAAAGTTGGCAGAACCTCTAGAACTGTCAGGGGAGGGGACCCTCCCCGAACCCCAAACAGCCTGACTTCCTCGTGTTCTGAGACTGAGTGGCTCGAGGCTCCGAACCCGGGCTTGGAAGCCTTTGGATCCAATTGTGAGCAGATGATAAAATTTCTCAGATGTTTCTCTTACTGGAATCTGACATGCTCCTCTGTTGTTTTTCCTATTTGAATGAAAATTAGAGTCTTATCTGGCTTATTCATATCCTTTTAATTTCCTCTTGAAAATTAAAGAAAATACGTCCTAGGTTTCTGATGCAACGCATATATATTTTTTCTGGCATCTGAAAAACGCGTGTTAGGAATCAGCAGCCCTGAGCTGCCCCTGCACGCTGCCAGGCTTCTCACATGATGTCGAGACGCCAGGTTCCGAAGCACGGGGCTCGCCCCCCTCGCAGCCTGGACGGTGGGTGTTCCGCGGGGACCGATGGCAGCCGTCTCCGGCACGTTGGGATGTCTGGGGAGAAACCGGATGGTCTTCCCACCTGCAGGAAAAAGTGAAAAACAGCAATCAGCGCAGAGAGCCCAGAGATGGGCTGCTCACTACCTTGTACCATCACAAGCGAACAGGGAGAGTGGAGGTACCTGAAATTCTTTTGTTAACCTGGTATTAGCTGATATTAAACTTTTCAAAAGGTATTGGCAGAACCTAGGAAGTATCCTTACCTCGCTTGTGTCAGCCCTTATACATCTGGCGATACGTGGCTTAGACTCTTTCTGACACAAGTCTATCTTTTGGCGTCTGGTGACACGAGGCATGACATTTCAACCAACATAAGGCACCAATCTTCTGGTTTTTCTTCCGAGGATGAAGCCGATTAGCAAAGGGGTGGATCCAGTCGGAAAAGACCTGACATGTCACGTCAGGGCACGACAACAGGATTAGGCAGACACAGGACTCTGCCTGGATGGTGCAGCCTGGCCTGGCCAGCACCTGGGTGGGGGAGGCGGCTGGCAGAGACTCGTTCATCTGACATGTGTGGGGCGACTCAGTGCATCAGACCCGGGCCAGGGTGAGAGATGGGGGCAGGCAGGGTGCTCCTGGGCCAGCCTGTGTGCATGGCAGCCCTCAGCAAGGAGACACTAGCCACCTGCTCCAGCAAGGGCTGGGGTGGGGCACATGTAGCAAGCATACGCCCACCTGTCCTGGGGCCCTGAGAAAGGTTGCTCTTGAACATCAGTTTCAGCAGCAAAGACAAGCAGATAATAAACCGCCCTGAGGGGGCAGGAAATGCTGTGTGTGTGGGTGGGTGGGTGGAGGCTGAGTGTGTGGGTGTGTGTGACTCAGCCAGTCCTGAACTTTGACTTGGGGCTCGCCTGGTGCCAAAAGAGGGGGTGCTTCCTGGCAGAGGTACTACCATGAGCAAGGTGAAGAGGCAAAGAAATGATTTGCGCTGCACTGTTACAGAAATATCTCAGCACCCTAAAGACTTTGACTGCAGGGTACAAGGTGTCCTGGGAGCTTCCAGGGTCGAGGCTGGGGAGGGGTGGATTGAGAGGGACCCTGTAGGCCAGGGTTAATCACAGAAAGGACACTCCACGACGATGGGCTAGATCATTCTGTCCGTGGATGTGGAGGGTGGGCCGTGGCAGGGAGGACCCTCAGGAGGCTCTTCTGGGCCTGCGCAGGGAGCGGCTGGGGGCAGAGACGGGCCGGAGCCCGGAGAGCACCAGGGAAGGAGAGGGCTCCGCGTCCCGGGATGGGTGCTGGCTCGGGCGCCTGGGGGACTAACACTGTCCCGAGGCAGGGGCTCAGAGGACAGCGGTGTTCAGCTAGGACACTGAACTGGGGTGTTGTGGCCTTGAACGGGGCCCATGAAACAGCATTTAGGAGGAGAGGGGTGAGAGCAGGGACCAGCCCATGGGGTGGCAGGGGTGCAGGTGAGAGAGCTTCCGGGGGAGTGTCCTCCGGGGTCAGAGCAGGAAGGCCCCATGGTCTGCTGAGGTCCCGCCAGCCCACGTGGGGCTGTGAAGGGACAGGATGCCGGGCTGAGCGAGGGGGGCGGGGAGACCCCAGGAGGCTGACGCTGGAGAAAAGAGGCGTGGATGAGAGCGGTTTGGACAGGACGGGAGGAGAGGGGGGGCTAGGAGGGCGCTTGGACCAGAAGAAAATAGGCAGAGTGGGGGGTGGGGGGGGGGCATGTGTCGGATGCTGGGGTGAGGGAGGGAGGGTCCCCACATTGTACAGGGACCACTGTATTTGTTTTTATTTTCAACCTTTCTTTTCTTGATTATGTATAAAACTGGTGTTTATCATGAAAAATTAGGAAAATATATAGAATCTACAGAATGTCCTGCCCTCCCAATACCTAGACATAGCCACGATTACCATTTGGTATCTTTTTAAAAATGCAAATATATACTAAAAAAACACACAGAAAACTTGGGGTCACTGTAAGTGGCCAGTAGGCTAGATCCACATCATCTTTTTGTTTATTTACTTAAAAAAAATTTTTTTTATCCTCACCTGAGGACATTTTTCCATTTTTGTTCAGATAGAGTAGGAGGGAGAGAGAGGGGAAGAGACAGAGACAGAGAGAAACATCGATGTGAAAGGGACACATCGAGTGGCTGCCTTCCGCACGACCCCAACCAGGGCTGGGGACAAACTGCAACTGAGGTTCGTGCCCTTGGCCAAAATCGAACCTGGGCCGATGCTCTAACTGCTGAGCCAAACTGGCCAGGGCTGTTTACTTTTTAAAATGAAATTTATTGGGGTGACATTGGTTAATACGATTATATAGGTTTCGGGCTCTTCCCATGCGTTAAATAGTCTTCTAAATATCATTTTCAAAACTCTTTTCTGTGAATATATAATTTATGTAATCAGCCGCCTACTTTGGGCATTTAGACTATTTTTCATTTTATAAATAATGTGGCAATAAATACCCTCATTTATATATCTGCAAAATTCCAGTTCTTCTCAGGATAAAACCCTACAGTCAGATTACCGACAAGAACCTGAAGTTCCTGAGTGTCTTCCCGCCGCCCCCGCCCTCCACCATCTCCTGACCGAATCACGCAGACCCTCTGCCCTTCTGGGCGCTTGCTCTGTGGGATGCTGAGGGCAGGAGTCCATCTCATTATTTAAAATAATTTTAAAGGGCTTTTAAAAAAGATTTTTAATTGATTTTTAGAGAGAGAGGAAAAGAGAGGGAGAGAGAGAAACTTGGATGTTAACAGTGGAACATCGAACAGCTGCCTCCTGCACACCCCTACCAGGGATCGAGCCTGCAGCCTGGGCAGGTGCCCTGACCTGGAGCCCAATGGGCAACCTTCCGGGGCACAGGACAACGCCCAACCAGTGAACCATACTGGCCAAGGCTCATTTATTTTTGCTCCCCAAGCAATCGACCTGGCAGAGTGATACACATGGAGGGAGCTGGCTATGGGCAGTTGCTTTGTTATAGTGGGAAAGCCCACTGTTTTGGGAAAATGAGGTTTCTCATTCCTTGCAGGGACCTCGTCCGCCCACTGGGACGGCCACACATGCTCCCCAGGCCTGGAAAAAGGTCTTCTTTCTCTACAAGGCAGACCATCTGACTCAAGAATTAACGGTGCCCAGTGGTTGGATCTTATATTAGACTCCCTTCATGCTTCTCTCTGATTAAATGCCCTGAGGTCATTCTTGCTTGTGAAGTCAGGGTGTTAATAATTTTAAAGCAATTTAAAAAAAATGACGATTTGGTGTTTTCTTTCCCATGTTAAACAAGATGAATTTTATTAGTTTCTGTTACTTCTTACACTCAAAAAGATATTACATGGGGTGGGGGAAAGATATTATGTTTATAAGCTAGATTTACTCATAGTTGACACTTGGCTATATTCTGGATCAAAACCTCCCTTCCACTGAACCTCTCAGATACAAATGATATTTTGTGGCCCAGTTGGTGTGGCTCAGTGGATTGAGCATTGTCCCATGGACTGAGAGGTCCGGGTTCGATTCCCAGTCAGGGCACATGCCCAGGTTGTGGGCTCGATCCCCAGTGGGGGGTGTGCAGGAGGCAGCCAATCAATGTTTTGCTCTCACATCAGTGTTTCTCTCTCTCTCCCCTTTCCCCTCTCTAAAATCAGTAAAAACATATTTTAAAAAACAAGACAAATCACATTTTGTGGACAAGTAGGAAATCTTGATAGACTATATGATATCATTAAATCAATGCTACCTTTCTTGTGTGTGATAATGTGGTTAAGTACAGGATGTTTTTATTTTTAGGAGATGGGTGCTGAAAGTCTCAACCTTTTTTCAAACAGTTCAGCAAAAAAATGTATACATGTATATTATGCACTTAGAAAGAGCGAGAGTGAGCCCGGCTGATGTGGCTCAGTGGATGAGCATTGACCCGTGTACCAGGAGGTCGCCGGTTTGATTCCCGGTCAGGGCACATGTCCAGGTTGTGGGCCCAATCCCCAGTGGGGGGCATGCAGGAGGCAGTCAATCAGTGTTCTCTCTCATCGATGTTTCTATCTCTCTCTCCTTGTCTCTCCCTCTCTATCTAAAATCAGTAAAGAAAAAAAATAAAAAAATAAATAAAAAAGAAAGAGCAAGAGAGAGCTGAGCATGCAAAGGTGGCAAAGGTTAACAGTTGGAAGCTCTTCATTGTAACATTCTTTCAATTTTTCAGTAGGCTGAAAATTACTGGCAGGTTTAAGAGAAAAAGGCATGATAATCATTTGCATATTACTAATTGAAAATAAAAACCTTGAAATATGAAGCACGTGGTGACTGGTTTTGAAATACAATCAAAGAGATCTCAGGGCACTGGTCCGTGGCAGGTGGGCAATAGAACTTGGCAAGATCGGTGCCGGGGCTCCCCGAGAGCAGGCATGTTCTGTTTTGTTTGTTGTCGTGTCTCCGATGCCTGGTTGTTCATTACAGATGACTATGGAGTAAAACTGCAAACAACCAAACGGTGCAGCTGTAGCGGATTTCTAAGTAAAAGGCAGCATATTCTCTTGGCCTATTTTGTGGCCATGGTGTGATGGATGAATAGATACAGGTTTTCTGCCTGCTCTCTTTAACCCCTGATCGCACCCGTTTCTCTCCAGCGTTCTCTCTGCCCAGGCCACAGACGATGCTTCTTCCTGCCACACTGCACTGCGCAGCCTGGGGCGCCCCCGGAGCCCACAGGAGTCTGTCTAGGCCCTTGGGTTGCCAGGGAGACCAGAGGCTCTGGGTAACCAGACTGAAGTTTTGTTAAAGAAAGGCTACAAAGAATGAATAAGGCTTGGCAGCTAAAAATGCTTATAGTTGCTTTAAAAAGTCACAATACAAGTTGATTTAGTGTCTTAAGTGGGGTGCTCCACCCCAAAACAGAGCCTCGTGCTACCACGAGGCTGCAGGAAGAAACACCTGTCCTTTCTGGAGGCCACTGCTCCTCTGTCCTCTCCGGGGAAGTTACACTGGCCCACACTTAGCGTCTCCTGGAGAAGGGCCAGAGCGGCCCTGGAGATCCTGAAATCCAACCACTTCACCTTTTGGGAAGAAGAAATCTGGAGGGGGTGGGAACTGGGAGACTCAACCTCCCTTCAGAAACCCCCAAGAGATAAACAATAAAGAGATAAATGCTTTCCATAGGAACATTTTATTTTGATATTTTATATACATGCATCGTACACTGCAGTTAGTTAAAACGAAGCTTAACAAAGTAAATCCCCACCTCCTTTAGCCCAGACTTACACTGGGCACCCATTCCTGTGGCCGCCGGGGGTGACAGGCCGGCGCAGGGGCTCGTCGCCGCCCCGCTGCACGCTGGCCAGCCCCCTCCGCCTCGGCTTCCCCGTGTTGGTCATGATCTGTGGAAGGAAAGAGGAGAGGGGCTGGAGAAAGCGTCTGAGCTGAGCTCGAAGTAGAACTGACTACATTTAATAAGTTAATCTGCAGTGATAGGAGGCTTTGTAAATACCTGAGGAGAGATCACGACACAGATTATTCAAAGTTTCCCTTTACGTTTGCATATTACACCATTCAGCAGTATAAATTTTTAAAAAGTCAAACATGGGGAAAAAAGGAGACAAGAATAGTTGAATACAGTAACATCACATTTCTGGAGAAGGAAAAAAAAGACAGATTTGGCTTCATGAAAAATTAGTATTTCCACATATATAGTACATTAAAGATAAGTATTTCCACATATATAGTATATTAAAGATGAGCCGAATTAACAGGTAAACTACAGACTGAGAAAAATATTCACAGCAAATTTAAGTGAGTAAAGGTTAAGTTTTTGATTAGATAAGAAGCTCTTACAACTTAAAAAGTAAAACACTGCCCGGCCGGTGTGGCTCAGTGGATTGAGCGTCGTCCCATGGACTGAGAGGTCCTAGTTCGATTCCCAGTCAGGGCACATGCCCATGTTGGGGGCTCCATCCCCAGTGGGGGTGTGCAGGAGGCAGACGATCAATATTTCTCTCTCATATCAATGTTTCTCTCTCTTTCCCCCTTCCCCACTCACTAAAAAAATATCAACTAAAAATATATATATAAAGTAAAACATTAAATAGATAATTGGGCAAAGAATTCAAAGCCAAGTTACAAAACAGAAAATATCACCAGACAAAGAAAAATGATCAACCTTACAAGTGAGGAAATGAATAAATAAAATGGAGTCACCATAGTCAAGCCGCTAAATTACTAAAATCAAGTAGGCTGAGGCCTGAGAAAATGACTCTATTCTTGCTTTAACTAGCCTGGGAACTTAAACTTTTGAACTTTCCAGGCCTGCATCAATGCCTGGATATACATCAGACCTCCAGATAACCCTGTTTACCCCTGAAGGACTGAGGAAGCATGTTCATGTATCCAGACCACCTGACATCCAGTATCCAGACCATCAGTCATCTAGAGAATTATCTCTGACCAATCCAGAGGCTAAGCATGCAGGGCTGATTCTTTCCGAGAGCGTACTTCTTACTGTAAGAGCCTCAGCTCTTCTTTCTTCTTTGGCACGCTGGGTATTGCCTAGTTGTGTTTCTGGTTTGCAAACCCTAAAACCCTTGAATAAATCTTTATCATTTATTTGCAGCCAAAGCCTCCAGACTCTGAGTTTTTCAACACAAGTAATCAGAAACTACAATTTTACCAAAAAGGAATCATTTTTCAATTATTAAATGAGTCACAATTAAAGAAATGATCCCATCCACTGCTGGCAGTAGTGTAAAACGCTAGCGGCTAGAAATCTGAGACAGCTCTTTTGGAAATACTTCGGCATTTATATCAAGAGTCATATAAATGTTCATACCCTTGGGTGTCAATCCTACTGAAAGAATCCCAAATATGAAAAATGTTAAATAAATAAAGTTCCTTGTTACAAAATTATTAAAGAGTAAAACTGGAACAATCTAACTGTCCTAGTAATAGGGGAATAATTAAGTAAAACATGGCATATTCATTTGAAATGTTACCTGGCCACTTACAATAATAAAGACTAGGTTATAAAGAAAATGTTTATTTAAAACATTAGATTGTCCAGTTGGTGTGGCTCAGTGGTTGAGTGTCGACCCATGCACCAAGAGGTCACTGGTTTGATTCCCGGTCAGGGCACATGCCCAGGTTGTGGGCCTGATCCCCAGTGGGGGGCATGCAGGAGGTGGCCAATCAATGTTCTCTCTCATCGATGTTTCTCTCTCTCTCCCTCTTACTTCCTCTCTCTCTCAAATCAATAAAGAAAAAATAAAATAAAAAAATAAAAGTTAAAAAAAGTCAGGTTATAATACTGCACATAAATGATGCTTATGCTAAAAGTATGCGAAAGAACGGTAAGGATTTATTGAAAGATACTCAGTGATTGCAGTGGCTACATGGGAGAGTAGAACAAAGAATAAATTTTCTCCAACTTCCCAAGTTTTCTGTAATATGGTTATATTATGTTAATAATTAAGAAAAGTTGTGTAAAACTGGTGAACCCTGGACAAAGTCTGTGGGTAGCTCTGACATCATTTTCTTGGTTTGGGACCTCTCTGTGCTATTTTTTCAACTTCCTGTGAATCTATGATTATTTCAAAGAAAAAAAAATTTTTTTTGAATGGGAATTACATCTTGATTTCTTAAATTTACTGAAAAGTTATTTGAGTTTACTGCTATTTGAGGTAGGGAGAAGAAAAAAAAAGGGCCACTTTCCCATGAGAAAGCGTCAGTAGGCCTCGCCTGTGTTTGGGGACAGCTGGCAGCAGGACAGCGGGCGGGCTGGGCCCGAACGTGCACTGGTAAGAGGACTGGGGAGGGGAAACGACAGGAGAGAAGGTGGGAGGGAGGCCTTTCCCGCTGGAGAGGATGGAACACAGTTAAGCTTTCCAAATAAGAACTGAAAGAGTTTTATTTCCCTTTGCACCGCATGTGAAATGTGCAAGGAAGAGGCTGTTTGGCTGCAGTCACTTGGTGCTGCTGTCTACCAGCCCTCACCTGCCTCCCCTCGGCCCCAGGCTCATCCCAGAGCAGCCCGACGGCCGAGTCTCAGCAGCACTGTAGGACCTCCTGTGCCTTCTCTTTCCCCGTATGCCAGTCCCAGTCAGAAGACTTGGGTCTTTCCATACAGGGCAAGAGGCTCGGTCGGTCAGGGGCTCCTAGGAGCGGGAGGCAGTGAAGGTGTATGTTCTCTCGAGTCTGTTGCCAGCCTTCTCCCTCCTCCTCCCCACTCTGCTGTCACTCTGAGCTCGACCCTCCGCTCCTTCCTGGAGGAGAGAAAACACATCCCTTACATTTGAGCTTTTCAGCCTTTGGAAAACCCAATCGGCCAAACCATGTCCTTAAGATTTCACAGACCTAAGAAACAATTTACAGTGGGTGGTGTTCATCCCCGTCAGTGGGCAAGGAAACGGAGTCTCCTTGTGGGACAGAATGGTCTGGGCCATTGTCAGAGCAGCCGAGCAAAGGTTGGTGAAGAGGGGAGGTGTGCAGGGCAGCCCCGTTTCCATCCCTTACACCTGCTGAGCTTGCAGCATCGGCGGAGGGCCGTGACACTCTGGGACCCTCAGTTGCAAAGGAATCTTTCTGAGCTGGAAAGATCCTAAACAGCATCTGGTCCAACAACCTGCTGTTTATACTGAGTTCCACAGAAACGCTCAGGGGCTGTTGGGAGAGGAGAGAAAAAGGGTTCCTGGCATCCACCTTACTATCCAGAGGAACTCAGCTTTTATCCATTACAGATGGAGATTTTGTTCAAAAGAACAACAAAATCTGCCCCTAAATGTTCTGCTGCTTAAAAAATGCAACTCATGATTTAGCTGAATGTAATTTATTCAGTAGTAAAAGATGGTCAACACATGTCAGTTTAGGTAAAAGATGTATTTTCCATTTGACCCAGTGATACCGCTTCTAGGAATATACCCTAAGAAGCCTGAAACACCAATCAGAAAGAATATATGTACCCCCATGTTCATAGCAGCACTATTTACAATAGCTAAGATCTGGAAACAGCCCAAGTGTCCATCAGTAGACTAATGGATAAAAAAGCTGTGGTACATATATACAATGGAGTACTATGCAGCGGTAAGAAAAAAGATCTCTTATCCTTTGAGACGACATGGAGGGACCTGGAAAGTATTATCCTAAGTGAAATAAGCCAAGCAGAAAAAGACAAATACCACATGATCTCACTTATATATGGAATATAATGAACATAACAGTCTGAGGAATACGGTAGACCCAGAAACATGGAAGTAAGGCACAGACTGACATCCCTCAGAAGAGGGGGTAGGGGGTGGGAAGAGATAAACCACTGAACTTATATGCATGTATACATAACCAATAGACATGGACAACAAAGCCGGGGACGGGGCGGGTGTGGGGTGGGGAGGGGGGTGCCAATGGGGTAAAAAAGGAGAAACATCTGTAACAAAAAAATAAATTAAAAAAAAAGATGTATTTTCCATTTACTAGTTTTTATGAATCACTTAAAGAAATGATGACACATTATAAAGCAGCATGGATTTTTGTAGGGATTGCAGGTACTTAGTATATCTATCTACTCACACAGGAAATAACCTGGAAGTGGAAGCAGACATTGCTAACTATCCACCCAATCTTCATTCTCTCTTTCTTGACCAACAAAATAAGCTACTGATCAAAACAGATCCAGAGGCATGGAAGTAGGGGACTGACTGACAAACCTCAGAGGGAAGGGAGAGTGGGGGGTTGGGAAGAGATAAATCAAAGAACTTATATGTATATATGCACAACCAGTGGACACGGACAGTAGTTTGGAGAAAGCAGGAGGGAGGTGGGAATGGGGAGGAGGGGGGAGTCAATGGGATAAAAAAGGGAGGACAGCTGTAATACTTTCAACAATAAAGATTAAAAAAAAAAAAAACTTTCCCAGACTCCCTTGCAGCTAGGGGCCATGTGACTCTGTTCTGACCAGTAAAAAGTACGTGGAGGTCACAGATGGAGCTTTGGGAAAAGCACTATAGAGGAGTGCACTTGGCTGGCCTGCATGTTTGGCCTCCCCCCCACCCCACCGACTTGGTCATGAATCTGTGCCAGAAGCTGCATCCATCACATCATGAACAAAAGGTTCAAGCATGTGGATGAAGGGCTGATGCCTGGGGGCAGAACCACCGTGGAGCTAAAGGAACTAAAGTCTCCAGGCCCCAGAGGGGCCCCAGCATTGTTTTTATAGGGTCATATTTTTGTAAAATTTGCAGAAGTAGGATATTTTAACTATGATCACTTAATACTACTGTTTTCTTCTACTCCGATTTTCCTTCTGCTGTTTCTTTCTACATGACCAAAAACTAAGTGTGAGGCAGGAAGAAAATTTTCTAATCTATCAGTAAGAAAACTAGATCAAATATGTTACAGGAAGGACTGCCTTACTTTTCTTTGCTTACTCTACAGAGAAACTGCCAACTCATTATATATGTAAAAATAACCAAAGGATATACAATAAAAACTATACAGAAAAACATACAAGGTGTGCTGAGCAGCTAGTTCATGAAAACATTGGTTTTCTGTTTGTGGTATCTGTCAGTTCCACAAAATCTGAATTTGTCTGTGCTTTCTTTTCTCATCTAAATCAAGTATTCACTTTTATACCTCACTTTGTATTCTTTTATCTTAAAAGAGTGCCTCTGAAACCCTGTACACTGAAGGTCCCACAAAGTCTGCATTTACCCTTCTTACTGAAAATGCAGGATTTGCTGCTGCTTGCCTCCGCTTCAAGAAAAGGTCACACTAGCAGCATTTCCCCATAGTTTGTTGGGGGCATTAAATTAAGTGGAATCAGGAGTGTGAAGCAGTCAGCACCATGACATGCGCCGAACTAATTTAAGATATGCCTATCGCTGTCGCTGACAGTAACTAAACAATGTTTAAATTTCAAAATAAAAACAAGAAACAGATTCTCTGATTTTATATATAAACCTGTTTAACCAAGGTGATGAAGACAGTTAAATTAGGGCATTCTTTTGTTGTTGTTTTGGTTAACCCTCACTGAGGATATTTTTCCATTGATTTTTGTAGAGAGTGGAAGGGAGGAAGTGGGAAAGAGTAAGAGAGAGAGAGACATTGATGTGAGAGAGAAACATCGATCAGCTGCCTCCTGCACGCCCCCCACCAGGGATCAAGTCCAAAACTCAGGCAAGTGCCCTGACCGGGAATCAAACCAGGACCTCTCAGTCCATGGGATGACAACACTCCATCCACTAAACCACACTGGGCTGGGCGAGTTAGTACTTTTAAAATCATTGGTGAGCACAACAACTGGTTCCTAGGAGGTGCAAGGCAGGCCTAGACTGTCTTTAACCCACATTCGGTAGTACAGGACTTGGAGAAACCCTCAGCTAGCTCTGATGTCACAGGACAATCCTGCCAACTTACTTTCCATTCCTCACTGTTAAGTATATCCCTTGCCAACAGCACAGCTTTATCTGCTCTGTGTCTCCTTGCATAAACTTCTTGACATAACAGCTTCAACTTCTTTGGCATTCTGCTATGTGATAGGCAAATGGCACCAGTTCAATAAAAACTTTTGAATATAATTTTCTGACACAATGTTTCAAAAAGTCATTATGTTTGAAATGATCTTTAAAAATCTACTTAGTCCATCCAAATGGGAGGCATGAATCATGATTTCGGGGCACGTATTCCCCAGTGAAATATCTTCTGTTTTTGGCAGGTTCCCCCATTTGCATTTGCCACTAGGGCCAAAGGCATGGCAGTAAGACCCGTCTTTTGAAGTCACTGACCCAGTGCAGAGGCTGGCAGGCTGGCAATTTCACACCAAGATGTGGTGACTGAGTGCAGGTTGGGATGACTAATGAACAAAGACAGTGATGTAACCTCTCGGTGATCACTGCTTGACATTAAGTTTCCTAATAGAACTTTAAAATGTTTCTACTATGAGATCCCACGGGGACCTGGCATCGTGGGTTGAACGCTGGCCCCCATGTGCTAACCCCTAGAACCTGTGCCCGTGACTTTGTACGGAAAATAGTTATTGCAGATGAACTCAAGTTGAGGATCTTGAGGTGAGAGGATCATCCCAGGTTATTCTAAATCCAATGACAAGTGTCCTTGTACGAGATGAAAGAGAAGAAGAGACAAGAGGAGGAGGCAGTAGGGATGGAGGCAGGGCTTGGAGTTAAATAGCCACGAGCCTGGAACACCTGGAGCCACCAGAAACTTCGGGCGGAGGCGGCTGCGTGGATATCTTGGTTTTGGATGTCTGGCCTCCAGAACTGTGGGAACACGAGCCTCTGTTGTTTTAAGCCATCCAGGTGGTGGCAATTTGTTGCAGCGGGCCCAGGAAACAACTTAAACTTGGTCCTCACGTCTGGACAATGAATTCTTTCTGCGCTTTATTCTTCCATTCACATCTCCACCGAAAAGTAACTGACACCAAGATAAGCAAGCAGATGTGGTGCCTCACTGCTGGTTTCCATCTCCTCCGGCAGGGACAGGCATGCACCGAAGGAGGCTCAGCACTGCCTGCTCAGTAACACAGCACTTTTCCGAGCCATGAACCGGGTTACTGACGGACCCGAAAGCTCTCCCTCTGCCTCGCGTCTGCACGACCAAACTCGTCCCAGCTCGTTAGGACCTTGCTCCTGTTGTGGTCACAAGTCCTGGCCGTGCCCCGGAAGGCCTCAGCCCTGCACCGCTGTGTGGAGGTGCTGCCAGGTGCCCCGGAAGGCCTCAGCCCTGCACCGCTGTGTGGAGGTGCTGCCAGCCGTCCAGCCCGGCCGGCTTCAGGCTTGTGCCAGCCAAGCCACTCATGCCTCCTGACCTCGTCCGCCTGGGGGCTGTGTCTGTGGGGAAGTCCCAGCACAGGCCCAGACAACCACCACCCCTGCCTGCTAAAGAAGCCCCACCATTTGGCTGGTGTGGCTCAGTGGATTGAGCGCTGTCCCATGGACTGAGAGGTCCCGGTTTGATTCCCGGTCACGGCACAAACCCGAACGTGGGCTCGATCCCCAGTGGGGGGCATGCAGGAGGCAGCCAGTCGATGTTTCTCTCTCACATTGATGTTTCTCTTTCTCTCTCCCTTCCTCTCTCTCTAAAAGTAAATCAATAAAAACATTTATTAAAAAAAAAGAAGCTCCACCAACTCACCTCCCGTCTTCCTCATCACCTGCCCACGAAGCAGGAGAGTGCTGCTTTTAAAGACGCAGGTCCCATCTCACGGAGCTGGGCCTTCCCTGACAAAAGCCTCGTCAGAGCCCAAGACCCAGACACCCCGGGACCTGGATGCCCTCAAGCACCTCCCACCTGACCGAATGTGAACTGAGCCTCCAGCCAATTCGACTCCTTTGGTCCTCGAGACATTCTGAGGACAGCGATGGGCAGCGGGCCTTGTCCAGGACGGGCGTGGTGGGCACTGTGCCCAGCCTCCTCCGGTCTGCTCCCTCGCACTCTTGCCTGCTACAGTCTATTCTCCGCAGAGCAGCCAGAGTGAAACGGAGGTGAATGTTATAAAACGTAAGTCACAGGAGTCTCTCCCCTGCTCTGAGCCCCCCAACTCCGCAGCTCAGGCAGAGTGAAGTCTCAAACCCCTGCCTACAGGGCCCCAGGGCTGGGCCTCTGGCTGTCCTCCAACCTGAAGCTTCACCGCGAACACCGCACTCCAGCCCGGGAACCAGGGCCAGGTGACCAGGTGCCCAGTGCCCAGGGAGAGGTGACGAGGGCCTGGACGTGGGGCGGGGCAGCGACGGGAATGGCCAGGCGCTTTCTGCGTCTACTCACTCCTTCAAAGGCTCATGACAGCGGCTCCATCCCTTCCCTTCCCAAGTCACCGTCTTTGCCCTTCTGCTCCAACTCCAACCCTCATTCAAGGACATCTCAGGGGCCACGGAACTGACCCCGTCAACCACCGGCTTCAAACTTCCCGGGGCTCCTTTCAGTGCCAGTGCCCTTCACTCCCGTCACTGGACTGTCCCCCGACTGAACCTTCAGGAACCTGACACTCCAGCACCCCACCAGCTCACCCCCGTGCTCTCTCATCAAGGGGACCCACAGGCCCCGCTGGACACTGCACCCTGTCCTGGCCAAAGGGCAGCTCCCTCCTGACTCACGCCGTCCCTGTGAGGCTGCGGGGTGGTGAGCAGTGGCCCTCAGAGGCCAGAGCGGGGCCCGTCCCGGACGCACGCCACAGGCTGCTCAGACGCTGGGGCTGGCCAGCCGTCCGCCCTGAGACACGTCTCCCTCCTGTCTTCTGTGGCTCTGCACCCTCCTGGTTCTCCTCAAGCCTCTGACTGCTCATGTCTGCGCTTCTCGGGGCCCCTCGTCTTTCCCCCACTCCTGCCATGCCGGCTCGGCCTCGCCCCCACTCGCCCCCACCTTGCCTGCTCCCACGGTTTCGGCCGCCACCTGTGCCGATCTTCCGCGCCCCCGCGCCTTCCGTTCAACAGGCGAGGCACGCGAAAATGAAGAAGCTGATGGGCAGACCTTCAGATATGGAGGCCCCTGGCCCGTGCCCGTCAGCCACGTTCTAATCCCTCTTCTGCTCACCAGCAGGTCCACTTGAGACTGGCAGCCAGGCCCCCTGGGAGCAAACCGGCTAACGCAGTACCCCAACACCAGCCCAAGCCTCGGGTGTTGTGGCGAACACTCGGTCCAGCAACGGTCCAGCTCCCTTCTCTTGAGGACCCCAACCCCTTCACGTGGTACTCACGCCCAAGTACTCGGTGGTCAGTAGCTTCTCGCCTGAGAGTTCGCCCAGCTGGGGCTGGATCAGCTCGTCTTTGTCCAGATCGGCTTCCATGGTGTCATGGTCCTCCTGTGTCAAGGAGACAGGGGTGAATGCTCTGGACCCCCTGCCACTAGTTTCCAGAATGGGGGGGCCCCCAAGCAGGCACATGCCATGGAATGAGATGGCCTTAGCCCGACCACAGCAACGTGCCGGTCTGCATGTCAGCGGGTCTCAGGGCAGTGTGCCTTCGGCTCCCAGCCTCTCCAGGAAGCTGAAAGGGAGAAATGCCAGCCTCCTCTTTAGGAAGCTGGGTGCTACCGAACACTTCCGCGACCACAGCTGTGAAGAGGTCCAATGAGACGCTCAACGGTCTCGAATGCATCAATGTCAACATCCTGGCTGAGGCATGAACACTATGGTTTTGCAAGCTGTAACCATGCGTTGGGACTGGGTAAAGGGTACATAGGATTGTTCTGTATTGTTTCTAACAGTCGCATGTGAGTCTACAATCATCTCAAAATAAAAAGTTCCAACTGTAAAAAGAGATGAGTAGAGACAAAATAAGAGCCTATATGAGATGCTACGCACCTGCGTATGACCATGTGCTGGCTGAGCCCTGTTCTCAGTGCGGGGGCCCTGTGGTACTTTCCCACCCCCGCCAGGTCTCTGGAGAGTGTGCTGTCCTTTGCAGGTGACATTATAAAGATCAGTACAAAAAACCAGACCTTCGTCCGACCTCTGACGGAGGCACTGACTGAGGCAGGACTTGTCCACGTGGACTCAGGGAGCCGGCTGGTGTGGAAGTGGGAGAGGGGGATGGGTGGGCCCCGGAGGAAGCTGGCAGTCCGAGTGCTGGTCCAGGCTGGGGGTGGAGGGGTGCCATAGGCCAGTACGCCCCGGCGACAGTGATCCCTGAGATCATCTAACTAATCCTTCCCCTGATTCCTTGTCCACTCAACACCCTGTAATTCGGCTCCTCTAAACTGCCAACAGGAAGAGAAAGCTCTATCCTGCAGACATGAGCACCCTGTTTTATTTCCAAACTAACTTCCAGTCATTCTGGATGCCCAGTCTCTTGTGAATTTGGTTTATCTGAGTCAGTTTCCAAGGGGTCTCGAGGCTCAGGTCCCTGGGAGCACCGCCTCGGGGCGGGCTGTCGGGGTCAGGTGCAGCCCTGTCTCTCCAGGCCCACTTTAGGCCACAGATAGTGCCATCTGCCATCACTACAGTGTCACCCAGGATGGGCTGTCTTAAGAAAAGGGGGTTTGACTTATTGTAGGTGGTCCCCAAAGGCAGACCAGAGCCGGCAGTCTCCGGACCAACCTGGCCTTCCCGACCGTCAGCCAGTCTCACTGGTGGCACGGGCCGTGGGGACTCGCGCCGGCGTACGCTGGAGAGTGTTTACGTGACGCCTCTGATAGAGCCAAGGGGGAGCCCGCCTTCCGTCCTCTCTCACAATGACTGTGTAGACCCTTACATTAGCATGGTGTCTGCTGTGGAATCACGCCTGAGAGAGGTGACAAGTCCATGGTGACAGCCTGGCCCTGGGGCTTGCGGAAGCCCCTTTCTGCCCAGATCTTTTTGACTCGGCCACTTGGGGCCTGCAGAGATGCCTGTGTCTGAGGAGGCCCAGGCAGGACTCCCCGGGTCTTCCGAGGCCTGAGGGTCCCCAGCGCCTGGTGGAGACTGAGCTTGAGGGGCAGAGAGCATGAGGAAGAGGCCACAGCAGCACCCGGGGTCCCCGGTCTCATCCCACTCTCCTCCCGTCCCGTCCAATCACGAGAACCCCTGCGGTCCTCCCCGGAACACCGTTCATGGCCATATCGTCTGACTCATTCGCCACAGCGGGGGAGCCGCCTTCTCCTCCTGGGCTGCACCTGAGCGGGAGGCCCAGCCAAGTGGCAGCTCCTCACCGTCCTGAAATTTCACTTGGGGACCCTGGAGGGAACGCGGCCTCAGGCCCAGCCTGAGGTCAGCACTGGGGCAGCGAGGTAGGATTTATACGCGGCCTTGGCTTGGAGTCCAGTTTACTATAACACCAACACCTCAGTGACCAATAGTGTGTACAATGTATGATTATTTCAGGAAAATGACTGCCCCTTGTCAACAAAAGCGGCGGGCTCTGTGGTCAGAGTGAGTGGCGGGGTGCTCTGGGCAGTGGGTCATATTTCAGCTCTTTTCCAGGGAACGGAGCCCCGGAGGTACCTGCTGAAATGGGCGTATGAACCACGACTTCACAGAGGCGCTGGCAATACGCCGCCTCCCTGCCAGGGTGGAATCCGAAACGTGAGGAAACAAAGCAAATGTCCACATTCCACTGCGGTGGAAAGTACACGGTCGGCGGCTCACCGGTCGGCGGCTGGCGGGAGCTCTTCTCTCCCCTGGACGGCAAGTACTTGCGCACGACCTGCACGGGCGGGGCGGCCTGTACACGCGGACTAGTGGCCACAGGGACAGCCTGATCTAGTGCTTGTTCAGAACACAAGTCCGCAAGAGATTTAATGTTGAATTTTAGTTACAGCAAGTTGATTTTTTTTTTTCTTTAGAAGTACCATAAAGTTAAGTGTTTTGGTAACTGATAGGACTTTCCTAACCTCCAAAACCACAGGCCAAGTTCTGCTCTTGGTCCCTAGCACATACAACCCTTTGCCAAAAGTGAAGCCGAGTTGCAACCTGCTGAGTACGCGTGGGGCTAGAGAAAGAACCTGGCACCCGCTAGCCACGCGCTCCTGGGCAGTCTGCTGACTCGGCCGCTGTGTCTCTGTTGGCGAAACACCGTTGGTGCTTCCAAGACCAGCACGTCAATGTCAAACGCGTACATGTAAGAAAGCAGACGTGGAAATCATGCTTCGGTGGACGGTCCCGCCTGAGACCGTTTGTCCCGAGGCTCTGACTCGGAAGCCACGCTCCTGTCAGTGCCTAGGTCTCCCCATCCAGCAAATGGGATCATCTTGCCGAGTCCTTTAAAATCATGACCTGCCGATGGAGAACATGTCTTAAGTTCTCGGATTCTGAAAGGCCCTATCTGTATAGATACAAGCAAGTCACTGTCGTGGTTTTTCTAAGAAACGTTCACGTCGGGGAAGGGAAAGGAGGTGTCGCAGGGCTCCCGAGACGGGAAGACCGACAGTAAACTGAGCTGAGCCGGCAGAACTGGGAAGTGCACTGTAACAAAGAGGCGCGAGGGCTCAATTCAATACTATTCACCCCGTTTCCAGCGACACCTGGGAAACTATCGGTGGCAGGAAGGCGGAGGGACCCAGGAGGTGTGGTGAGACGTGTAAGCAGAGAGCCCATCGAGAATGGTGCCCGCTGACGGCAGGCACGTTTGCCAAGAGGATTAGAACAACTGAGGATGTGTACGAACTTCTGTGCAACGAGCAAACCTAGGACACCTTCGGGGACACTCACGGCTCCAGCCTTGCATCTGGGAGAGAGGCCACTGTCTCCCCAGTTTCAGTGGGAGGGGCTTCCCTCGCCTCACACAGTGCAGCCGGGGGGCCAGGCCCCCGTGCCAGGGGCGTGGAAACAGCCCCAGCCGCATCGCTCACTTTCCACATGAAACATATTTTTGCAATCTACTCAGCGAAGGAAGAGGTGATGAATAAGAAAATACTTTCATAAACGCCTCCTTGGGGTGGGGTTTTAAATGCCATTGTTGGGAAGGAATTTTGCTAAAATGACTGGCCTTTATGTGCTCCAGCGGAACGCATCGGGTTACGACAGGCAGCGCTGGCGATAAGTGATCACCCCAGGAAATGAACGCTCGGCGGAGAGGCACCTGAGGTGACACGAATGTGCGCGTCTCACCCGCAGCTTCGCCATGGCTGCTCGGTGATCTGATGACCAGATGCTTAACTGCAGGCTTGAGACACATAATACTCCAGACAAACCAGATTCTAAGCAGCTGGCCTGAAAGTAAAACGAAGGTTAACCACTAAATGCATTTGAAAACTCAGATTCTTGCAGATATAATGCGGAGAGCAGAATGTATTCAAGGGGTTTTTACACACGACAAGCAAAGGTATCAAGTGTGTTTTCCACTTAAAATAATTATAAGACTGCTACCAACAGTTTAAATTTGAGACACCTTAGAACGTTGAATGGTAAACCTCACTTTTTGTAAAAGTAAGGGAAAAACACCCCGCGTGGGAGAGCAAGGGTGGACGAGGTGACTGGCCGGCAGTGTACCGACGCATTTCCCCTGGTGGCACAGGCCCTTCCCGTGCTGCACCTCTCTGGCAGTGTGTGCCCAGGACCGCGGATGCAGCAGGTCCTGGATCCTTGAGGACGCACCGTGATGCTCAGAAGTTGTTCTAGGCAGCAACTTCCCCATTCACAGAACACAGTCCGGGAATGACGGCTGGTCTAACCACCAGCCCGGTTCAGTAAATAACCACGTGATAGCCCTGGCTGGTTTGGCTCAGTGTTGACCGCATTGACCTTTGGACCGAAGGGTTGCAGGTTCGATCTCCTGACCCGGTGCGGGAGGCAACCAATGGATGTGTCTCTCTCACAATGATGTTTCCTTCTCTCTCCCTCCCTCCCTTCCATTCTACTTAACAATCAATGGAAAAATTTCCTCGAGTAAGGATGAACACACCCCCCCCCACATGATAGAAACCCCAAGACCTTTACTTTGATTCTTTGAACCCATTGCTTTAGCTCCTCAATTTGCTCGCTTAAACTTTTTCTGAAGTCTAAGTGAAAACAGCAAGATATATGGTGATGACAGCAAAGTGCTCTGTGCACAGCTACGCTTACTATGACAAGTGATACAGACTCAGGAGCTGGAGGTCCGCAGGCCCGGGAGTGGGAGGCAGTAGAAAGATTCTGCAGGACGGGGAGGAGGCGACATCAGGCCACGTCCGGACGCCATGCGTGACACGGGCAAGGGGGCTGTGGCTGCTTCTAAACAGGGGCCACGCGAGTGCTCAGCTGGCGTGGCTCAGGGCAAGGTCAGACTGGGGGACTAAGTGTGACCCCGACCGAGTGAGGAGAAGGAAGGCTAGCAGGAAACCACCAGCCAGAACAGCAAACACACCCCGGAAACAATGCAGTGTCTTCTTACACGTCAGCAAGAATGT